TCAATTATATTAATATAAATATAGACATGTAAATGTAAATATTTTCAAAATATATACTGCAAACAAAAACTTTTATTTTGTATGCGATTAATCGTTTGACAGCACTAATAATATTACAAGGTACTTCAAAAAATAGCATGGTATTCCATAGTGCATGTACAAAAACATGGTATTATGGTGGTACATGTCCGAGACTGCAATGATACTTAAGTTATTTTTATTGAGAGGAAAGCAAAAAGAAAATGAGAGATAGGAAAATTATGTGTTGCGTGTTGAACGCATGGGCAGCTAAATTCGTTAGCGCATATGTGCTAACCACAAGGCCACAGCTATTATAAACACTCAAAGAAAAGCTGGAAAGGTTCACTTATCTCTAGTTCCCAGCATGCTTTCTGTTGAAACTAGCTATTTGTGGTGACATCTGTCAAAGTCTTGAAGAGCATCTCACTCGACGCCCATCTTGACTATGTTCCTCAGCGGTTATTTCTAGTCATGCTGGTGGTCCAGCTCCTATCTGTTTGAATTGGAAAAGACTGTAAGATTGAAATATCTAAAACAGTCAGCATTATTTTTTGGTAACATCCTGATAGCACATGTAAATTGCAGAGGCGTTTTCATGTTTTCATCAAGAAGACAATGCAATACATCTCTAAGATGTTTCCTGTCAGATGTTAAATATACATTTAAAAAATGTTTTTGATTTAGAATGCCTTTTTTACGTTTATCAAATGTTTGTTCACATCAAATTGTTTCCAGAGGTATCTCAAATCATGCTAAAAACAGTATTTTTCATTAGTATTAGTTCCAGCTAATGCACATGTGTGTTGTAGAGTAATTCAGACTGAAGTAATTACAGTAATTTGATGACTTTGCCAAGGCAATTGGGCTTTTAACTCAAAGATGGTACTTCAGTTCCCACAGCTGCCATACTGAGAGTGTTGCAATTTCTCCCATTCATTTTTCTACAATATATACTGTTTTTTTTGTGTGTGTGTAACACAATATTTTCATTACAGGAAATGCCTCATGTTCTCATAGCAATACTCTTGCAGCCAAGCCTCCCCTGTTCCTCTCACTGTCATTATGAATATTGTACACAGATGTGAAATATTATATCTGTCCAGTGTCTGTGATAATAGATTCATACCCAACCCTCTTGCAGAGAAACATGGCTTTTATTTCTGTTAATGTTTTACATAAGGAGGTGTTTTGCTAGTGCAGGCGAGAGGTCTGGTAGCACACACCGTTTGGGATTAATAACCCTGTTTTAGCTGGAAGAGCCATTGATCCATCATCTTCTGAAGGAACAGCTTATTTCATTTTGACTACGCCACACTTTAGCAGATAAATAATTGTGAGTGTGTGCGGCTGCGAATGTGTGTACGTGCGTTTGTATGCAACACACATCCATTTTTTCATTCACTCCGGCATCAGTTCATCTCTCAAGTGTGTGTGTGTGTGTGTGTGTGTGTTCACGCGTGTGTGCGAGCATGCATGTATGCGTCTGTGTGCTTGATGTATTATGGCAGTTGTGCAGCACACAAACAGATGAGATATATAATACTAATAAGCAGTCATCCCAGTGCAGTCTGATGAGTAATGATGAAGTTCTGCTGGGTGGAGCGCACTGATCTATGTGATTGTCAGGCCCGATATCCAGCTCCACTCCGCCAAAACACAGACACTCCATCAAGAAGACAGAGAACAACGTGCTATCCATATCCCAGCAACCCACAGGAAGAAGTTAAAAATCTTATGGTTTTGTATTTTATTGAAATTTTTTTCTTTCTAAAGTTCACCGAAATCAAGCTATGCTATGTCAAGTTCACATGACAACATTCAGAGAAAAAAAGTGTGTCTGTGCAATAAACTATCTATAGGCTATGTATTCATATGGTTGCTGATGAACATGATGCAGGACGAGGGCTGAATTTGTGATGTAGCCTATAAAATGCAGTTATGTGCTCCCGAAATTGAAGATAAGAGGGCAAAAATGCCACTGTATGTTTTTTTTTTGTCATATATTTCTATTATATGATGTACAGTAGATTAGTAATTTCACACAAGCTAGAGTGCTCTTTTCCCTAATATGTGCATGACTGCAAATGTGATATTGATTTTATACAATAGTTTAATAAACAATAAATTAATACTGTGTTGCATTTTAGACACAATATTGTCAATATAGTCTGTTCTGATAAATTTTACAAATGAAAATAGTTCCAAAAAAAGCCACAGCAGAACGGTTGTGCGTCTTCGAGCGAGGTGCAGCGGTATTTCGTGTGAATACCAATAATTTATTGGCCCATTCATAAAGAAAATCACATTTTAACGAATCAGTTGAATGACTGACTGAATGACTCACTCATTAAAGTGCCCCTATTATGGGTAATGAAAAAGATTCATATTTGGTTTTGGGAGTTCCCAACAACAGACTGGCATGCATGCAAGGTCAAAAAACACTTTTATTGTTTTATAATATGCATTTATTTTTACCTTATTTGCTCAACAACTCCCAAACGATTCGTTTAACGATTCATTTTTCCAAACCCCTCCTTTGCGTGACGCTAATCTGCGGTGATTGGTCCGATTGGTCTCATTTTAATGTCATCTTGCCTGTAATCCCTGATAAAGCAGCGTTTGTGAGCTCAGTGCTGCTTTGTGTGCGGCATTACCGGGGAATCCGCTATTTTTACCGCTCCAAATGCACCACATAGTGGCAAAGAATTCATTTGCATTTTCATTCAGGCCAACGCGAAAAGAGAGCGGGCAATATGCTAATGTTTCATGTTGACATCAACATGAAACGGCTTGGGATTCGTTTTAAAAACGACTCAGATTCAGTTTCGTTTGACACCAAACGATTCAGAGTCGACTCTTTCATTTAAGAGACGATAACTTTATACACGGTGCACTTTCAGATTTAAAATTTTGCAAGATGTGTACATTCACTTAGAGCTGTTACACACTGCATGAAGGTAATTTTCAAAAATCCATAATAGGGGCATTTTAAGTCAGTGACTTTCTGTCGTCTTCGGGCAGTTTTAGTTTAAGTTTTAGAGTATCATTTAATTAAAAACATGTAATTTCAATGTTTAATTACAAAAACATTAATAACCATGTGTTATCATTCTTTTTGCAATGTTGAATCAAAACATTTCTCTCTAAAGGCATGTTTTTTGTAATATATTCAATGATTTTCTCATTTAACACAATAACGACTTTCTATTTGGGAGGGTTGGTGATTTCTCTGCCAAAGTTAATTAGTCATTAATTAAATTAATTATATGCATTTCACATTTACTTGACAGCGAATATATGTTTTAACAGCGTTTTGTGTGTGTGTTTGCTATTTTTAAATGTATATTTTTCATTTTAGATTTATAATAAATTTTTTATAAAGTTAATTTATGATGTTTATTCATTAATTTTATTCAAAAAAAAATCCACAGCCAACAACTGCTGTAGCAGCTGTCATAAGCAGTTGACTCTGCTAAAGGAAATGGTTTAGGAAATGATTACAAGGGTTCAGTCTATATCTGGAACTGTTCATACTGTAGATTGCTTATAAAATGCATTCGCTAAGTGTCTGGGAATCTGAAGCATTCATTTTCAATTGTGCGTTGTTGGCCTTTAGACAAAGACCTCCAGCCTTTGTTTTGGTTCTGCACTATTTGGCCTAACAGACATTAATGAGGTCTTTGTCATGTGGGGCTCCAGACACAGTTGTTGAAAACATCAACTAAATAATAAAGGAGAATTCTGGATAAATGCTCATAAACTGCCCTTGAGTTAATACACACACTTAGAAACAGCTCATTGTGTCTTTGTTTCTGCAGCAGGTGGTTTAAAGCTTCTGTGTTGACTAGCGAGAACCAGGCAACAGTAGTGTGTAGTCTCTTTAGGCGAATGAGACATGAACCGAGTACACAGTCACTGCATCATCCTGCTAACTGCGCTTCCTGTCTTTCATCTCCTCAATACACATTCTGTTGGGCTGTTGGTTTCATCCTTCTTAACCTACTAAGACTTTATACTGTATATATCATACAAACAAACAAATATATATATATATATATATATATATATATATAATGTTCAGATTAATACAGTATGCTTTATTGACATTAAATACATTTACCTACTGTACATACTGAGAAAACAGGGCTATGTATATTTATTTTTAGGCTGCACTTTTTTTATTTACACTACTGTTCAAAATTAATTAATTAATTAAAGTATTAAATTCATATTTTTATTCAGTAAGTACGCATTAAATTGTGACATTAATAATGTGATAAGTTTTCTGTTCATCAAAGGATCTTGAAAAAAATTCACTGTTTCCACAAAAGCATTAAGTAGACAAATGTCTACTTGTTTCTTGAGATGCAAATGATTTCTGAAGGATCATGTGGCACTGAAGACTGAAGTAATGGCTGCTGAAATTTCAGCTTTGCGTCGCAGGAATAAATTACACTTTAAAATATATTAAATGGTATGAACAGTAATGTATACATATAAAACAAAGAAGTAATTTTTTGTGGTCTACACTGTTGTTCTACACTGTTGTATCTCAGAGAAATAACAAACTAGTAAATAATAAATGGAGTTACAATAAACATTACTAATTAAGAATATAGCAGACTAATCATACCAATAATAGTGTTAATAACATATGTTTAGTTATAGAGACAAAGTCTGTCAGACGCACATACATGCACACTCTTACAAGCTTAACCAAGCTTAGAGGGGGAAAAATCAAGTCAATCCGAGACCCCAGTCCTATTATCATAGGAGTGAAAGATCATTAAAGGTGAGTGGAGATTGCAGTGTGTTGGAGCTGATAATGGTCTCTGTCTCTGCCTGTCTGCCTCAGACTGTCACCCTTCTCCACCGCTGGCCTGACCCCAGCAGACCCCTCTTAAATGAGCCTGCATAATATTTCCTCAGAGCTCTAATGATTGCTTTTCTCTCTCTGTGGTTTGCCCGTTCTCTCACAGTTTCAAATGGGGGATACAGTCACATGGAAGAGGGGGATGATGAAGGCTTTGCTGCTAATCCTCATAGACAGGACAGCCTGACACTCCAGCAGAGGTAACATGGATTTGCCTTGGACCGAAATTGACAAACATGTCTCTTTTTCCATGTTGGGGTTGCACGGCTAGTTAATTATTTTTGACACCAGTTGGTCACATGACTTGAGTATTTGTCTGCACTTGGCAAAATCAGGAGGACAGTTCCTCTGACCACAAACTGTAACCCAGTGTAGCTAAATTATCTGACATTAGTTTTGTATTGTAAATGCCAAATATATGGCTTGAGATGATCTGAGTTTGTAGTGTTTACAAACCAGAAATCTTTTAAACCATCGTGAACATAGTAAAGTGTCAATGAATGAGCAAGTGGAACATGAGTATTTTATGGTGATTGATTTTCATGAGTTAAACACTAATCCCACTGACTGTTTTTCTGTCAGACTAGTAAAAAACAAGTTGTCGTGCAAACCCGTGCAATATTTTGTTCTGTGACTTAAAACTATTTAATAAAAATAATAAAGAAATGCATGTTTGCCCTGTTTGTGTGTGTGTGTCCAGTCTGAGTTCAGGTCTTCGTTCAGCTGACGCTTCTTTGACTGACGGAGGTCAGCAGGGTCATATGGAGCAGAATCATGTGAAGTCATCTAAGAGCATGGATCTGGGTAAGTCATTCACATTATTGTCTGATGTCTGCCTTCTCTCTGTGTTGTCCTATCAATGGAAATGGAAAAGTATAACATTTTGAGCAAACATAGCTTTACAGAGAATAAAGACATCCAGAGTTAACCTGGAGATGATCAAATAAATTGTTAAAACCAAGTGAACAGATGTGCTACTATTCACAGTACCATTCAAAAGTTTGGGGTCTGAACGTTTTTATTTTTTATTTTATCTTTTTTTTTATCTAATACTTTAGATGCATTAAATTTATCAAAAGTGACAGTAAATGAATTGATAATGTTACAGAAAATTAATCTTTTAAATGAATGCTTTTATTTTGAACTTTCTTTACATCAAAGGATTCTGAAAAAAAAATCACATACTTATACTATATCCACAAAAATATTGAGGAGCTTTTAAAATGTTCAATTTTCTAAATTAATGGTATTAAGAAATGTTTTTAAAAAAGCACTAAATCAGCACATAAGAATGATTTCGAAAGGATCATGTGACACTGGAGTCTAAAGTAATGGCTGCTGAAAATTCAGCTTTGCATCAGAAGAATAAATTACATTTTAAAATATGTTCAAATTGTAAACAGCTTAAATTGTACAAATATTTTACAGTATTAATGTTTATATTGTATTTTTGATGTTTGAAAAGACTTCTTTTAAAAAAGTAATATAATTATAAAAATCTTACTGACCCCAAACTTTTGAACAGTGGTGTATATATTACTTTGATTCTATATTTTTGACACAAATCTAATTCCATTATGCACCTGTGAGTGGATCTCATATATATACAAACAGTATTTAGAATATATCATATTAAGAGGAGTGGAAACCATCCATGTTCTAGCAGTCTCTTCAATGTGAAATGTGGGCTGACTTGTCTAAGTGCATGCTGGGGGATAAATCAATGCTCCTCCTCACTGTAACACAATTAATCTCTCGTGTTCCAACATTACCTTGGAAATCTAATCAGCGGCGCTCTATATCTGATACATCAGCCACGGCTACAGACCAAATCTGTGTCACATGATGGCTTTTTTAAAAAACAATAGTGAAAGTATTGAAGAGCTCAATATGACGGGGGTGGACGGGGGCTGCTCTCTGGTGACCGTGGCGACTGTAGCTATGGTGGGCGGCACAATGGCCAGCCTGAGCGAGCCCCGCGGTCCAATTCAACCATGAATAAAAACCCACTGTAATTTGGTTCCAAGTGCTGGATATGAAATTGGATCATCTTTGATACGAGCGCTAGGATATTAATAATACATAACCAATAAAGAGAGCCCCCTTTAGTTCATGAATAATAGAAAGTTTGAATAGTTTTTTTAATTGAAATTTTTTGGTGTACGCTCATATTCACCTGGGCGTAGGCACATTTAAAAGGAAAAAAATCGAGTGAATTATGCCACCCTCCTTCTCTCTGGATCCCCTCAGAGGCATGAATAGCTGTGAGAATGTAAACCTGTATGCTAGATTTAGGTTTACAGCTGCTGTAATGGCTTTGTTTTGATTACTGTGTATGCGCTGATATGACTGCTTTAGTGGCGATTTGTTTTCCTGGCCGGTTGGCAGGCAAGTAACTTTGTTAATGATGAGTGCAGGAAGTACACCAGTGTTGTTTTGTTACTGTTGATGGGGTTATAAAGTAAATCGTACTGATTTACATCATCCATTGAAAATTCAATAACTGTGTTGGAATAGCTGAGCGGTTGGATGAATTTCTCAAAACCTATCAAGAGCAAATTAATTGGGGAAAAAAGAGATCGAATTAGAAGAATGTATATATTTATATTTTAATATACACTGACGTAAAAAAGATTGGGATCAGTAAGATTTGTAATGTTTTTAATGGAGTCTCTTGTGCTCATCAAGGCTGTATTTATTTGATCAAAAATACAGAAAAAAAACTTTCTGTGATGCAGCACTGAATTTTCATCAGCCATTACACCAGACTTCAGTGTTACACGATCCTTCAGAAATCATTCTAATATTCTTATTTATTATCAGTGTTGAAACTGTTGTGCTGCTTAATATTTTTTGAAATCTGTGATAGTTTTTTCTTTGATTCATTGATGAATGAAAAGTAAAAAAGAGAGCAGCGTTTATTCAAAATAGAAATATTTTCTAACAGTATAGGTCTTTACTATCTTTACTATTTACTTTTTATCCATTTAACACATCCTTGCTGAACAAAAGTATTACTTTCTTAAAAAAAGAAAGAAATTACTAAATTTGACTAAAATTGACCATTTCTATATTGAATAAATACTGTTCTTTTTAACTGTTTTTATTTATCAAATAATCCTGAAAAAAGTATTACAGGTCCCAAAAAATATTAAGCAGCACATCTGTTTCCAACATTAATCAAAAATCAGCATATTAGAATGATTTCTGAAGGATCATGTGACACTGAAGACTGAAGTAATGATGCTGAAAATGCTGCTTTGCTTCACAGGAATAAATTATACTTTAAAGTATATTAAAATAGAAAACTGTTATTTTAAATTGCAATAATATTTCACAAAATTAGTTTTTTTTCTGTATTTTTGATCAAATAGATACAGCCTTAGTGAGCATAAGAAAATTCTTTAAAATATATATATACATAAAGAAAGTGACAAGTTTTTTTCATAAAAATTGTCATTACGGTAATACAGAACAATTGATTTTCATAAGAAAACAATTTGGAAAAAATTAAAGTGTACTACAGCACTGAGAATGTAATAAGAATCACCACTGATCGTTTTACTTATTTTATACTTATTTAATTATGATTTAACAAACGTGTGCACATGTACACCATCAAGTTGCATACTTTGGTTACAATGTGTGCTCTTGTGGGGGACCATAACTTCTATTCAAACGTCTTATATAATTCTCTGATCATGTCCTACCCTTTATTCTTCTCTCAGCTCTGCCTACAATAAAGGCTTAAAAGATAAGAGACTAGCTTTATGATACCCATACTTGCAGCAAATATTCAGACGGGGCCTCTGCAGCGCTCCACAGAGCAGTTTAAGGGAGTCCATCGGTTTGTGTCTTAGCAAGGAGAGCCGCAGGGGAGAACGATGACAGACTTCTCCCACCTTTCCTCCCTCAGGACGGAGACAGGAAAGAAAAGGAGTAATGAGAGTGAGAGAGGAGATTATAGAGGTGCAGATGAGAAGAGAGAGATGTTGTGAGCGAGGAAGAGGGTCCACTGGATGACTGCCTCTGAGGAATGGAGGGATCACTAAAACAGAAATGAGATGGCCGCTTTTGCAAGTCATTTTCTGTGCAGGCGTGATGGGTGCGACGGCTCTAAAAATTGAACGCTCACCATGAGAATTGAACAGTGCAGCACATTTCCACACATTAGCTAAGGATGACCCTATTAGCTCGGCTTTTTTCCATAACACACTGAATGAGAAATATTTCACTCTCTTAAAACGCTGGATGCAGCAGAATTTCAATTACACTTCATTAGTTTTCCATATTTGGTTCTCGCAAAGTAATGTTTCGGTGGCAGCAATCGACTATGCCAACAATTGATTGGCTTTCATTTTCGTGATAGTATAAGAGTGTGTGTGTTTCTAATAGTCACACGGCAAAATACCTTTTCCTCATTCAAAACAACCTTTTTTTGCTAGTTTCTATGACTTAATGAGGGAGCATAATGGATGTAGAGCTATTTTTTATCTCTCTGACCTCATCATAGGTGTCAGTTGACCCTTCGCAAACCCCCCATTAGTTACTGTTGCTATGTCCGACAAGCCTTGGCACTCTCACGCCACACATCATGTTCTCACAAAATACATTGTGGAGCAAAGAGGAAACTGACAACATGTGTGTATTATTAGCAGGACATGAATGTCGTTCAGATCTCAGTCATAATGCATATGTTTTGCTCATTTTATACACTTTGGTTAGACAACACACCATCTTTATTTTCACCTTCACATGTTATTTGTATGTATTTGCTAAGGCAGTACATTTTGTCAATGGCCTGGTTTTTATTTCTGCTGTTATCCTCGGTAACTCCATCCACTAAAATTTCATTGGCCTAGAATCACACTTGGCGTAACTCGTCCCACACATTTTGTGCTACGGACATGAATGATACTTAAACTCCAAAATTTACATTCTGTCATTTACTCACCCTCATGACATTTTTCTAAATTTCTTCCATTATGTTTCACAGAAAAAATTAAATCATACCGTTGTGATTAGTCGATGATAAATTAGTCTAACCAGTCTTTTTGGCCATAAAGTCTTACGCCATATATAGAAAACAGAATATCATAAAGATTTAGAGATGGGCCAGTTAGTAACTACCTTTTAACATTTTCAACATAGCCACTGTTATTGAACTGAATTGAATCAGTGTCTTTCTGGAGAAGCATTATTCATTGACCTATTTTGTATTGTTTTAACCCTCTCTGTGGAATCAGAATTAGATTTGTAATGCGGGAAAACAACCATTATCTACATTCTGTTTTAGGAACGAGTTGAATTGAAAAACAGGAAATAATTGTTCATAAGAGATGGACATCGTGCAATGTACAACTGGTTTGTTGTGTGTGTATTATTAGCAGGACATGAATGTCGTTCAGATCTCAGTCATAATGCATATGTTTTGCTCATTTTATACACTTTGGTTAGACAACACACCATCTTTATTTTCACCTTCACATGTTATTTGTATGTATTTGCTAAGGCAGTACATTTTGTCAATGGCCTGGTTTTTATTTCTGCTGTTATCCTCGGTAACTCCATCCACTAAAATTTCATTGGCCTAGAATCACACTTGGCGTAACTCGTCCCACACATTTTGTGCTACGGACATGAATGATACTTAAACTCCAAAATTTACATTCTGTCATTTACTCACCCTCATGACATTTTTCTAAATTTCTTCCATTATGTTTCACAGAAAAAATAAAATCATACCGTTGTGATTAGTCGATGATAAATTAGTCTAACCAGTCTTTTTGGCCATAAAGTCTTAC